CGGATAGTGGCCGACCGGCGGCGGCCAGGGATGAGACGGAACAACAGCCCCAGCATAGGGTGCGTCCCATCGGTTTGCCCCTCGACTCCAATAACACCCTAACTCTGGCCACGCATTTGAATTCGCAGTCATTTATTTGAATAGCACCTGTAGTTTAGGGTTTATGCACAATCACCCCCTCCATCTTTCCGCCCCCACCCCTGTGCCCATCTGTGCCTTCATTTACCCTCAATATGTGTAATTTCAATGACACAAAACATAGATATAATTATGTTTTCACATATCATTTAACAGTAAAAATTGATTATAATTTTGAATTATAGTTTTATTTATAATGAAGTTATTATTTTTAATTTCCAATTGATTTATAATGACTTATTATATTAGTTATCATTTTGTTTTGTAACGAAAGAGCTATGAATTTTCATATGAGATAAAAAGCCTGTGATTATTATTATTAATATAAGAAAAATTATTTTTAAATAACTATTACTTTTAATTATTATTAATTTATTATTTGTATGATGATGATTGAATTATTTTCATGTATAGTCGTGAATTATTTTTGTGTATTATATATCGTTTCCCTATAGTTCCTGGTTATATATAAATATTTGATTTATCATATTAATTGTAGTTTAAATATGTATTAAAATCTAATTAAAAGTTATTAATTTATGTTTTATTTTGATTTTTTATTTAATTGTTATTGAATTGTACTGTAATCACTGTTAATTATATGATTGATTGTAAAATGCAAATATAATTGTATTTATTATTTATTGATTAATATCTAGATGAAAGCCATTGACTTAGATCTACCATTGAATGCAACGAATCTCATGTCTTTGGCCGTCAAACTGCCCGACAGGAAGAGGTGATCATCACTTTATTAAATCCATGTCTACTAATAAGTTATAATTAATAAAACTTTTAACTTTTACAGCAAATGAAAGCAAGCATTGGCCCATTTAATTAATAAGTGATTAATTTAATAGCTATTATAAATGTAATAGAAATGACTGACTGTTATAAACCCGGTTAATGATGGTATTATATTCATCAAGATCTGTTTTGCATTTAAAACTGAATTGTTTTTGATTTGATCGAGATTATGTTGCCAAACAATTCTGTGCAATATTTAACATGTAACATTTGCATTAATTATTGTGTAAAATAACTTATTATTTATAAGTGTGTATTATATAATTATTATTGTTTTCAAATATAAATATATATTGAAAATACAATATACTATATATTTAATTTAATTGTAATATTATTTTAAACCATTATTTATTAAATATATCAATTATTTACTCAATTATTCACTTATATGCGCTTTTTATTTCAAATGCCACACCTAATTAGATAAGCAAAAAAGTTACCATAGTTATTCGCTCAAATAAAAATGAGTAAGCTGAAAAACATTTACGTTAGGTATTATTGTTTACCATGTTTAATAATTCAATTATCGTATATTAAAAATTCAATTAAATAAAGTGATGTTAAAACTATGGCCAATAATAAACGTAATATTAATAAGTATAACAAGTATTTACTGTAATTATCAACATTTCATGGAATATAATGTTAAACATGTGGACACTTTTGACAGCCGGTGCCGCCGGAGCGTCGACTGTCTGGACCGGCAGTTTGTCTGCTCTGGCAATCACTGTATATGCGATAACAACTATACCTATGATATCAATGATAAACAATGCAAACAATTTATATGTCATATCCATCGGGACTGTCAGGAATGGGATGCCAACCGCCGGTGCCATTCCGGTCAGTGTCTGTGCGGTGCGGATCAACTCGTGGACATTGTGACCAAGTTGTGTGTCCAGAGGCCACCCGACGTCTATGACTATACCTGGTTATGGTGTCTGGCGTTTCTCATACCCTCTATCATAGCCTCAATACATGGTTTGAGGAGAAAATATAAGGTTTTAAAATTGCAATCATCTAGCTAAAAAATTATGTTTTAAACTGTTATATTAATTAGAATAGTATTTATATTAATTTATAATTTGTATACTGTTATAATTTATTATAAATATAATGACAAGGTTATTTATTTAAATCATATAAAATAAATATAAACTACTAATGTATTGTAATTTATAAGTCAAAATATATAAAATCACATATAAAAATATACTATGCTCATAAATTCAAACTTATATAAAAATATTATCATGATAAAATACTGTATAGAACTAAATATATCCAGGTTGAAATTCGAAATGAATATTAAATAAAAAATATCACGTTGATATTTATGTGTTGCACTCACGACATGCTTGAGATGCAAACTAAATTAAGTGAGTGTTAATTACCATATGGTTATTGATTTTATCGATCGCAAACAAAAATGCAGCGCTCAATAGGCAATCGCTGTACAAGACTACTCAAAAGTCATATTTAATAGCATTATGATCGCCTGTTGATAGCATTCATAAATGAAAGTACATTATATAAATGATAGTACATTGTATAATTACTGTTTGTGTAAAGATAAATATTAATTTTTGTGGAATTCACCCGCAGGTAAATTATGTGAGATTTAATTATAGTGCAACATGCAATGGAAGTGCATTTTCTGCATGTGCAAAAATAGTTTTAAAAAATGTTTGCACATCATTAATAACACAACAAATCTAAATTATAATGGACCTTGAACGAATAATTGAAAACACAACAATTAAATAGTTTCTACCATGTTTGACCGTCAAATTAAAACTCCAGTCAATATAATCACTATAAATAAATATCATACATTTGTAAAATTATTATTAATGCCAAAAGTGCTAAACTTATTATTATCCATAGGATATCATTCAATCTATCACTTAATAACAATATTTATTATTAAACTACATTGATTAAGTACCGAGTTTACAAAATAAACTAAATCCCAGTTTAATATCAAATGAATATTTAAAAATTAATTTATTTATTGATAACAACACACAAGTGTTCAATAATTTAATAATTACTGATAACTAAAAAGTAAATAAATAAATAGCTTTATAAAACTACAAGTATTAGTTATTGTCAAAAAATAACAACCAATAATTTCAACAAAACCACCATGTCCAGCGACAACAGCCAACTGACCATATTATTCACACCACTGGACGGGTGGGGACATATCAACGCGTGTCACGGGTTGGCCGAAGAGCTGCTACGGCGCGGGCATCGCGTGGTGTTTGCCATCGATCAGGGCTTTGCCGGCAAACTGTCCAAACATGGCTTCGAGGAGGTCCTGCACTCTATACCCCCGGACCCCACCGTCGACCCCAACATTGACTTTTGGGCCGATTTCATAGTCAAACACCGGCGCGATCTCCAGCGGTCGTCCATCGAGATCATCGAAAGGGTCACTTCTGTGGCGCTGGGCGTCATGTTTGACGGCGTGAAGGCCCGGGAGGACCAGTACCGAGACATTGTGGCCACTGTCCGGCCCGATGTGATTGTCATCGACTCCTACGTGGGCTGTCCACCGGTCACTGAGTCGGGCGTGCCGTGGGTTTTGTTATTTTCGGCGGCGCCTCACATGGGGTTAATGAATGATGAGCACCCACCTGCCTGGTCTGGTATGTGCTAATTGCGTTTTTTACAATATTGAATTAGTTATACCGGTAATACCGGTAACTAATTTTATTTAATGTTAACGATTGGTAAGAATTTATTATTTATGCTAGATTGTAGTTGTATGGGAGTTAATAGAGGGGGTGGGGTGTGTCCTTGTTTTTAGATAATATTAAGTTATTACCTTGAACAACAATTAACTAAATTAATTATTTATATAAATATTTTACAGGATTACCACTGAATGGAGACCAAAACGAGTGGCAAACATATCAAACGAGATTTAATAAGGCTTTCGATGCGCTTCACAAAAATGTTGACGATTGGTATAAAGAGGTGACCGGAAAGTCATTGGCACTCAAACCGGGATCAGTTCCCCACCCGTTGTCTCCATATCTCAACATATGTATGACACCCAAAGAGTTGGACTACGAAGAGGTGCAGCCATTGGGCGACAACTGGCATAGAGTGGACGGCTTTGTCCGCACAACTGACGAGACGTTTGAAATACCGGAGTGTCTGCGAGAGAGGTCAGGAAAGTTGATCCTCTTGTCCATGGGTTCGTTCGGGTGCGCAGACATTGATCTCATGATACGTTTGACCACAATTCTGGCCAAATCTGAGCACCGGTTTATCGTGAGTAAGGGTCCACTGCATGACAAGTATTCACTGCCGGACAACATGTGGGGCCAACCATTCCTCCCGCAGACAGCGATCTTACCATTAGTTGATTTAGTGCTAACACACGGCGGCAACAATACTGTGACCGAGACTTTCT